ACTTATTTCATCAATTAGAAAAAATTAAATTTCAAGCTGATACATGTGTGACGTTTTGCTGATGGTTGGCACATAAACATGTAGGAATTAGTTTAAAGACACAACCAAACATTGTCTTATCCAGAAAAAAACACAGTTATGCCTAGATCTTTTAAATATTTTGACAAGAACCATCAATAGAGCAGTCGTATTCAGATATAAAAATGACTTTTTACTGACTTCTGTCACTTACTGGAATTGCTAATAATGACTAAAATGCTGAAACAGTTACTCACTCCAATCTACTAGTGTAATGTGAACAATATTTGAGCAAAATATGGCGAAATCAATGGAATTAGTCAATTGGAGGTTAAAATGGTTTGCTGATTTTTGGCACTCAGTTTAATTGCTCATAAGTCATATTCTGCTTGAGCCTGGCACTTCGTTTTTTCAAATCACAACTGCAGAATATTTTCACTTCATCTTATGTACAAATTTATGGTTGCACTTTAAAAAGTACTGCGACTTTTTCCTCATTTTGTGCACTCTACTTTGAAAAAGGTGAAATCAGCAACTCACCACACTTTAAAAAAAACGTGTCCATAAAAATGGGTACTGCCTATCCCAAACCATCATAAAAACCAAGTTTCGACCTCTCAACCCACTCAGGCCGCTCCCAGGGGCCACGCCCATCCCAAAATTGCTGAAATCCAGCTAAAATCCAGACTGAGAATCTTTACCCCCGTATGCGATTTATGTTCCGGGGTAGGTGGCCAATTTTTTAGTATAAAAATGGGTACTGCTTATCCCAAACCATCATAACAACGAAGTTTCAACCTCTCAAACCACTCAGGCCACTCCCAGGGGCCACGCCCATCCCAAAATAGCTGAAATCCTGGAAAAAATCAAGATTGAAAATCTTTACCCCCGTATGCGATTTATGTTCCGGAGTAGGTGGCCGATGTTTTAGTATAAAAATGGGTACTACCTATCACAAACCATCAAACAAACAAAGTTTCGACCTCTCAAACCACTCAGGCCACTCCCAGGGGCCAAGCCCATCACAAAATAGCTGAAATCATGGTCAAATCCCATACAAATTCAGACTGAGAATCTTTACCCCCGTATGCGATTTATGTTCCGGGGTAGGTGGCCCATGTTTCAGTATAAAAATGGGTACTACCTATCCCAAACCATCATAAAAACCAAGTTTCGACCTCTCAAACCACTCACGCCACTCCCAGGGGCCAAGCCCATCACAAAATAGCTGAAATCATGGTCAAATCCCATACAAATTCAGACTGAGAATCTTTACCCCCGTATGCGATTTATGTTCCGGGGTAGGTGGCCCATGTTTCAGTATAAAATGGGTACTGCCTATCCCAAACCATCATAAAAACCAAGTTTCGACCTCTCAACCCACTCAGGCCGCTCCCAGGGGTCACGCCCATCCCAAAATTGCTGAAATCCAGCTAAAATCCAGACTGAGAATCTTTACCCCGTATGCGATTTATGTTCCGGGGTAGGTGGCCCATGTTTCAGTATAAAAATGGGTACTGCCTATCCCAAACCATCATAAAAACCAAGTTTCGACCTCTCAACCCACTCAGGCTGCTCCCAGGGGCCACGCCCATCCCAAAATTGCTGAAATCCAGCTAAAATCCAGACTGAGAATCTTTACCCCCGTATGCGATTTATGTTCCGGGGTAGGTGGCCAATTTTTTAGTATAAAAATGGGTACTGCTTATCCCAAACCATCATAACAACGAAGTTTCAACCTCTCAAACCACTCAGGCCACTCCCAGGGGCCACGCCCATCCCAAAATAGCTGAAATCCTGGAAAAAATCAAGATTGAAAATCTTTACCCCCGTATGCGATTTATGTTCCGGAGTAGGTGGCCGATGTTTTAGTATAAAAATGGGTACTACCTATCACAAACCATCAAACAAACAAAGTTTCGACCTCTCAAACCACTCAGGCCACTCCCAGGGGCCACGCCCATCCCAAAATTGCTGAAATCCAGCTAAAATCCAGACTGAGAATCTTTACCCCCGTATGCGATTTATGTTCCGGGGTAGCGGTAATTGGCCCATGTTTTAGTATTAAAATGGGTACTACCTATCCCAAACCATCATAAAAACCAAGTTTTGACCTCTCAAACCACTCACGCCACTCCCAGGGGCCACGCCCATCCCAAAATTGCTGAAATCCAGCTAAAATCCAGACTGAGAATCTTTACCCCCGTATGCGATTTATGTTTCGGGGTAGGTGGCCCATGTTTCAGTATAAAAATGGGTACTGCCTATCCCAAACCATCATAAAAACCAAGTTTCGACCTCTCAACCCACTCAGGCCGCTCCCAGGGGCCACGCCCATCCCAAAATTGCTGAAATCCAGCTAAAATCCAGACTGACAATCTTTACCCCCGTATGCGATTTATGTTCCGGGGTAGGTGACCCATGTTTCAGTATAAAAATGGGTACTGCCTATCCCAAACCATCATAAAAACCAAGTTTCGACCTCTCAACCACTTAGGCCGCTCCCAGGGGCCACGCCCATCCCAAAATTGCTGAAATCCAGCTAAAATCCAGACTGAGAATCTTTACCCCCGTATGCGATTTATGTTTCGGGTAGGTGGCCCATGTTTCAGTATAAAAATCGGTACTGCCTATCCCAAACCATCATAAAAACCAAGTTTCGACCTCTCAACCCACTCAGGCCGCTCCCAGGGGCACGCCCATCCCAAAATTGCTGAAATTCAGCTAAAATCCAGACTGAGAATCTTTACCCCGTATGCGATTATGTCCGGGGTAGGTGGCCCATGTTTTAGTATTAAAATGGGTACTACCTATCCCAAACCATCATAAAAAACCAATTTTCGACCTCTCAACTCACTCAGGCCACTCCCAGAGGCTACGCCTATCCCAAAATAGCTGAAATTCAGGTCAAGTCAAGAATGAGAATCTTTACACCTGTAGGGGATTTAAGTTCCGGGGTATTCTTTTTGGTATGACTACTATCACCACTCATTCGAGGAATATGTTAAATAAAGAATATTCATGTTCATTTTTTCGAATGAAGGTTCATTATCGCATTTTTTAAATAGTTTTGATAATCAGATCGAGCCAAATTTTATAGGATTGTATTTTGCCATTCAAATTACGTTCGATCTGAAAAAATGAGAGTTGTAGCTTCTCAGATGTCCGAGATACGAGGCATAACGAGTTTATTCATTACGTGTGATCAGGTGATTGGATTACCTGTTCAGGTGATTAGATGCCCGTTAAATTACAAGGGAACCCAATCAAGGTGTCCTATCACATAATCACCCAATCAATTTTGTTAACGAGATACATTCAATGCGTCATTTCAACTCCGATTGACCTCAATTTTTCAGATCAGATGCAACAATAAATATCTACAGTAATCTGAAATAAATGGGCGTCTAGTATGTCTGGAAAGAACAATATAGGTGATTTAATATTATATGGACGTAGGCCGTAGTCTAAATATTCAAATTTTCAAACATTGGCGACGGAATCCTCGAATGAGTAGTTACAGCATGCCATCTGCAAAGTTACAGGTCCATAGCATAATATGAAACACGGTGGTGGTGTAAGACCCAACATATGTAACGTTAGTTTTGCCCCAACCCCTGTAGCTTTTCTGGGTTAGGCGTGGCCCCTGAGAGTGGCCTGAGTGGGTTGGGAGGTCGAAACTTGATTTTTATGATGGTTTGGGATAGGCAGTACCCATTTTTATACTAAAACATGGGCCACCTACCCCGAAACATAAATCGCATACGGGGGTAAAGATTCTTAGTCTGGGTTTGTATGGGATTTGACCAGGATTTCAGCTATTTTGGGATGGGCGTGGCCCCCTGGGAGTGGCCTGAGTGGTTTGAGAGGTCGAAACTTGGTTTTTATGATGGTTTGGATAGGCAGTACCCATTTTTATACTAAAACATGGGCCACCTATCCCGGAACATAAATCGCATACGGGGGTAAAGATTTTCAATCTGATTTTACCAGGATTTCAGCTATTTTGGGATGGGCGTGGCCCCCTGGGAGTGGCCTGAGTGGGTTGGGAGGTCGAAACTTGATTTTTATGATGGTTTGGGATAGGCAGTACCCCATTTTTATACTAAAACATGGGCCACCTACCCCGGAACATAAATCGCATACGGGGGTAAAGATTCTCAGTCTGGATTTGTATGGGATTTGACCTGGATTTCAGCTATTTTGGGATGGGCGTGGTCCCTGGGAGTGGCCTGAGTGGTTTGAGAGGTCGAAACTTGGTTTTTATGATGGTTTGGGATAGGCAGTACTCATTTTTATACTAAAACATGGGCCACCTATCCCGGAACATAAATCGCATACGGGGGTAAAGATTTTCAATCTTGATTTTACCAGGATTTCAGCTATTTTGGGATGGGCGTGGCCCCTGGGAGTGGCCTGAGTGGGTTGGGAGGTCGAAACTTGATTTTTATGATGGTTTGGGATAGGCAGTACCCATTTTTATACTAAAACATGGGCCACCTACCCCCGGAACATAAATCGCATACGGGGGTAAAGATTTTCAATCTTGATTTTACCAGGATTTCAGCTATTTTGGGATGGGCGTGGCCCCTGGGAGTGGCCCTGAGTGGGTTGGGAGGTCGAAACTTGATTTTTATGATGGTTTGGGACAGGTACTAAACTATTTAAAACCCTAAACCTGTTCCAAATACCCGGAACACAAATCGCATACAGGGGTGAAATCGCATACAAATCGCATACACAAATCAAGGAAACGTGCTCTCTCGCCGCGCCATCCAGTTTTGTACCGATACACGTTTGACTGTCAGCACCTATCTTTTCATTTATGCAATAATTTCCTTCATTACAATCCTTATAAGGGTTGTTATGAATTTATTATGATAAAAATATAGGATTGATCCTGTATTTTTATAGTTCTAACTTCTAATTTCTGCCCAAGTAAGGGTGTTTTCAATAGAACTCGAGAATAATGAAAAAATACTCTGATATCATGAAACTCATTTTCAGACATTTTACAAAACGAATTTCTGGGGTGGGGTAGTACTGTCCTGCTACAACTTCCCCTAGTCATAAAATTAACAAAATAATGTTCATGCCCAGAAAATACTGGTTAATTACAATAAAAACTTGCAGCCACATAAATGTGGAGAAAAAAGTGGCACCGATGAAAAATCTTTTAATCGTAACATTCATTGTGATGTGATGGAAGTAAAGTGGGTAAAGTGGGTGCAGCAATATTAATGATAATTAAAATAAACTCACTAAATTAAACACACGTAATAAGGGGCCTTACAACTACTTTACAAATAGTACTAGTATAGTACTAGTAACAAGCTTTACCATTTACTAGAGACCACAAAGTAGAGGGTCTATTAGCAGAAACTAATATTTACAATGTTCTCATCTGAAGTTTTAGTCTGGTTTGAGGAGGATTTATCTTACATTATATTAATCAGACACTTAGATTCTTTGGTTAGCGTTACCCTGGTTACCCTGGTTACCCGTTACCCTGGTTACCTCGGTTAACGTTCTATTCTGGTAGTGACTAACTTGAAATGAGAGCACTATAGAACAAAGTCAAAAACATAGCAGTTCTCATAAACTGATTAAAATTGTCTTGAGGTACAATACCTGGAATTACTAGAGATAGAAGAGTCTATCTGACATAGCAGGAGCGGCAGGACGGTGGAGATGTTGTCATGGTAACTAGAGATAGAAGAGTCTATCTGACATAGCAGGAGCAGCAGGACGGTGGAGATGTTGTCATGGTAACTAGAGATAGAAGAGTCTATCTGACATAGCAGGAGCTGCAGGACGGTGGAGATGTTGTCATGGTAACTAGAGATAGAAGAGTCTATCTGACATGGCAGGAGCAGCAGGACGGTGGAGATGTTGTCATGGTAACTAGAGGTAGAAGAGTCTATCTGACATAGCAGGAGCAGCAGGACGGTGGGAGATGTTGTCATGGTAACTAGAGATAGAAGAGTCTATCTGACATAGCAGGAGCAGCAGGACGGTGGAGATGTTGTCATGGTAACTAGAGATAGAAGAGTCTATCTAACAGAGCAGGAGCAGCAGGACGGTGGAGATGTTGTCATGGTAACTAGAGATAGAAGAGTCTATCTGACATAGCAGGAGCAGCAGGGACGGTGGAGATGTTGTCATGGTAACTAGAGATAGAAGAGTCTATCTGACAGAGCAGGAGCAGCAGGACGGTGGAGATGTTGTCATGGTAACTAGAGATAGAAGAGTCTATCTGACAGAGCAGGAGCAGCAGGACGGTGGAGATGTTGTCATGGTAACTAGAGATAGAAGAGTCTATCTGACATAGCAGGAGCAGCAGGGACGGTGGAGATGTTGTCATGGTAACTAGAGATAGAAGAGTCTATCTGACAGAGCAGGAGCAGCAGGACGGTGGAGATGTTGTCATGGTAACTAGAGATAGAAGAGTCTATCTGACATAGCAGGAGCAGCAGGACGGTGGAGATGTTGTCATGGTAACTAGAGATAGAAGAGTCTATCTGACAGAGCAGGAGCAGCAGGACGGTGGAGATGTTGTCATGGTAACTAGAGATAGAAGAGTCTATCTGACATAGCAGGAGCAGCAGGACGGTGGAGATGTTGTCATGGTAACTAGAGATAGAAGAGTCTATCTGACAGAGCAGGAGCAGCAGGACGGTGGAGATGTTGTCATGGTAACTAGAGATAGAAGAGTCTATCTGACATAGCAGGAGCAGCAGGACGGTGGAGATGTTGTCATGGTAACTAGAGATAGAAGAGTCTATCTGACAGAGCAGGAGCAGCAGGACGGTGGAGATGTTGTCATGGTAACTAGAGATAGAAGAGTCTATCTGACATAGCAGGAGCAGCAGGACGGTGGAGATGTTGTCATGGTAACTAGAGATAGAAGAGTCTATCTGACATAGCAGGAGCAGCAGGACGGTGGAGATGTTGTCATGGTAACTAGAGATAGAAGAGTCTATCTGACATAGCAGGAGCAGCAGGACGGTGGAGATGTTGTCATGGTAACTAGAGATAGAAGAGTCTATCTGACAGAGCAGGAGCAGCAGGACGGTGGAGATGTTGTCATGGTAACTAGAGATAGAAGAGTCTATCTGACATAGCAGGAGCAGCAGGACGGTGGAGATGTTGTCATGGTAACTAGAGATAGAAGAGTCTATCTGACAGAGCAGGAGCAGCAGGACGGTGGAGATGTTGTCATGGTAACTAGAGATAGAAGAGTCTATCTGACATAGCAGGAGCAGCAGGACGGTGGAGATGTTGTCATGGTAACTAGAGATAGAAGAGTCTATCTGACAGAGCAGGAGCAGCAGGACGGTGGAGATGTTGCCCGTGCATATAAGCTATCTTGTGAGCGTAAAGGCAGACTGAAGGTACCCTCACAGTACCCGGCCAGTTCCAGTACATGTGGGTTAACTTGTAACTGAGTTTCTGAATGTGGTCAGGTTTGAGATTACTTGTGTTGTGTACTACTACGTAATGTGATGGGGTGACTGTTCCTTTACCCACATGTTGAGATACCAGGTAGAAGTCGTAGAGAGTATCACTTGTTACTGTGTGATCTAGCACTGTACCAGGGGGAGCGTTCATTACCTTGCCTCTGTTACCTTCCCCCTCACTGTAGAACATTCTAGTTCTAATTCTCTTCTGCACTACAACTACTACCAGCTGGGGCTTGTAACCCCCCTCTAGATGAGAGAACGCTGCTTCAAACTGTGCTACTTCGTACTGCTTAACCACAGAGAACTGTCCCTCCGATACTCCGTCTCTAAACACTATGATACGCTCCGGTAACTTAGCGTTCTTCTCAAGGTACTTTTGCAAAGCAGCTGTCATCATGTTCTGTAGAGAGGAGGAGAACTCCTGTCCTCTCTCTTCCTCTCTAGATGTAGAGAAGTACTGAGTAGTGATCTTGTTCATTGAGGCTACAAATCCAGTAAAGGAGGAGCCTGCCCGGCTAGTTGGATCGTGGTAAGTGTCTATACCCACTATCATAGCATTACCCAGAGGGATATTACACGCCCACAACTCCCCCCCTAACTTAGCGTTTATCTGCAGCATTATCTTCTGAACTACATTTCTCAGCTTCTGGGGCTGGGACAGTGTCCTAGTCCTGATTACTTGCGAAGCTATAGCTATGTCAATGTAACACAGCTGCTTTATAGCGTTATAGCGGTCGTCTCTATCAGAGGGAACTATGGTAACCACCAGCTGTACGTCATTAGAGTGGTTACTAGTTATCGCTCTGTGGGGGAACAGTGTTAACATTAGAGGTGTTACTAGTTATCGCTCTGTGGGGAACAGTGTTAACATTAGAGGTGTTACTAGTTATCGCTCTGTGGGGAACAGTGTTAACATTAGAGGTGTTACTAGTTATCGCTCTGTGGGGAACAGTGTTAACATTAGAGGTGTTACTAGTTATCGCTCTGTGGGGGAACAGTGTTAACATTAGAGGTGTTACTAGTTATCGCTCTGTGGGGGCACAGTGTTAACATTAGAGTGGTTACTAGTTATCGCTCTGTGGGGGAACAGTGTTAACATTAGAGGTGTTACTAGTTATCGCTCTGTGGGGGAACAGTGTTAACATTAGAGGTGTTACTAGTTATCGCTCTGTGGGGGCACAGTGTTAACATTAGAGTGGTTACTAGTTATCGCTCTGTGGGGGAACAGTGTTAACATTAGAGGTGTTACTAGTTATCGCTCTGTGGGGGAACAGTGTTAACATTAGAGGTGTTACTAGTTATCGCTCTGTGGGGGCACAGTGTTAACATTAGAGGTGGTTACTAGTTATCGCTCTGTGGGGGAACAGTGTTAACATTAGAGGTGTTACTAGTTATCGCTCTGTGGGGGCACAGTGTTAACATTAGAGTGGTTACTAGTTATCGCTCTGTGGGGGAACAGTGTTAACATTAGAGGTGTTACTAGTTATCGCTCTGTGAGGGAACAGTGTTAACATTAGAGTGGTGACTAGTTATCGCTCTGTGGGGGAACAGTGTTAACATTAGAGGTGTTACTAGTTATCGCTCTGTGAGGGCACAGTGTTAACATTAGAGTGGTTACTAGTTATCGCTCTGTGGGGGAACAGTGTTAACATTAGAGTGGTTACTAGTTATCGCTCTGTGGGGGAACAGTGTTAACATTAGAGGTGTTACTAGTTATCGCTCTGTGGGGGCACAGTGTTAACATTAGAGTGGTTACTAGTTATCGCTCTGTGGGGGAACAGTGTTAACATTAGAGGTGTTACTAGTTATCGCTCTGTGAGGGAACAGTGTTAACATTAGAGTGGTTACTAGTTATCGCTCTGTGAGGGAACAGTGTTAACATTAGAGTGGTTACTAGTTATCGCTCTGTGGGGGCACAGTGTTAACATTAGAGTGGTTACTAGTTATCGCTCTGTGGGGGAACAGTGTTAACATTAGAGGTGTTACTAGTTATCGCTCTGTGAGGGAACAGTGTTAACATTAGAGGTGTTACTAGTTATCGCTCTGTGAGGGAACAGTGTTAACATTAGAGTGGTTACTAGTTATCGCTCTGTGGGGGAACAGTGTTAACATTAGAGGTGTTACTAGTTATCGCTCTGTGGGGGAACAGTGTTAACATTAGAGGTGTTACTAGTTATCGCTCTGTGGTGGAACAGTGTTAACATGTTAAATACTGGTCACTTATTCTAGTACATAACAAATTGTAGTTACTAATATTAGTTACTTGTACTTGTTACTTATAATAACTTTAAATAAGGTTAATTACTAGTAACTAACTATATTTACCTTATAAAGCTCTCCGTCCTATCGTCTCTGAGCGGCAGTACTACAGGGGCCGCTACTCTCATACCCAGTTTCCTTGCTCCTTCCTTCATTACCGTTACCAGATCACGCCCCTTATTCTGATCCCGCTGCGTACATACTAGTAACCTGGGAGTTACTTAGGTTAGTAACCTGGGAGTTACTTAGGTTAGTAACCTGGGAGTTACTTAGGTTAGTAACCTGGGAGTTACTTAGGTTAGTAACCTGAGAGTTACTTAGGTTAGTAACCTGAGAGTTACTTACTACTTAGGTAAGTAACATGGGAGTTACTAAGGATAGTAATCTAAGAGATACTTAGGTTAGTAACCTGGGAGTTACTTAGGTTAGTAACCTGGGAGTTACTTACTACTTAGGTTAGTAACCTGGGAGTTACTTTGGTTAGTAACCTGGGAGTTACTTAGGTTAGTAACCTGGAAGTTACTTAGGTTAGTAATCTGGGAGTTACTTAGGTTAGTAATCTGGGAGTTACTTAGGTTAGTAACCTAAATAAAAGATGGGATGAGGTGAGGAGATAAGAAAATAAAGTAAGGGTAATTAGTAAAGGTAAATAGTAGATGAGTTACCAGTTGTCGAGGTTAACAGGTGTGAGTGGAGCGTTGACTGTGGTAGCTTGAGAGAAATCAGCTCTCTCTCCGACTGTGTGTGTGTTTCCTCCTCCCCCGAATATTATCTGCTCAGACTCCAGCACTCTTCCTTGCACGTGCAATGTTTCATCGTCTGAAATAATACAGCTAATAGTCAACTTAGTAGTTCTCAGATATTATATCAGGCAAGTAATTCAGTATCGTGTAATCATGGAGGACACTGGACAATTATCAGTAAACATTTTACTGATCGAATATAAATCTGTTTACTTTCTGGTTACTTACCGATATGGATTATGGAGGTTCTATCTGGTTACTATCTGGTTACTATCTGGTTACTATCTGGTTACTATCTGGTTACTTTCTGGTTACTATCTGGTTACTATCTGATTACTTTCTGGTTACTTACCGATATGGAGGTTCCAGCGTCTGAGCTCTTCAGTGGCCTCAGGTGACTCCTTCACGTTACAAATGAAGCCTTTAATAGCCTTGATTCTATCTCGGGGATCTAGTCTGGTGTGAGCTACAATATCTTTACGAACCATAAAGTCGTCCATAGTAGACTGGGATAGACCTGAGAAGGGAGGTGTGAGAGAGGGGACGGGGGACGGGGGGGGGGGGGGGGACAGGGGTTTGGAGGGGGGACGGGGGTGGGGGGACGGGGGGGGGGACGGTGGCTGGGGGTACATCTACAATGTTATAAGCAGTCACTACTTGCTTCAGATTCGTAGATTATTTGTAGTAATTTAGGTTACGAACAACGAAAACGAAAGTAATAACGATGGTTACAAAATATTAAACTATAAAACAACACAATGACCAATTCGACAAACTTCTACTTTAAATCCTAATTAACCAGACCTATATCGCCCAAAAACGACCAGAGATCTAATTCTCTTTATCAGAATACAACATATTACGGTCAACTCTCGTTGACCGTACCTTAACTTATCCCTAACTTAATCTAACTGACCTCGAATCAACCATCGTTGATTCCCTATGTAACGACATGCCCCACCCGTGGTATCCATGATCCAACCAAATCAACCATTGCTGATTCTCCCTATAACGACATGCCCCATGCGTGCTCACCAGGATCCAACCATAACTGGTCCTAGTCTCTAATAGTCCGGCATCAATGATGACCCTCTATCGAATAGGGCAAACTCAATCTCTCTCTCAATGACCATTTCACCGGACCTTACATAATGTCCTGTCCGTGGTTTTATCCTCCTGTAGGACATAATTTACCAGACATCGCCCAGACAATAATCCACCTGCTTAAAACCCACGTGATCTAAGCCCCTTCCTTCAAGGTGAGAATTCAACATCTACAACGAAGACCATCCTTGCCTTGTGATCTAACAATCTGAAGTGATCTATTTATCACTCTACCAGACACAGTCTGAACCGCTCTTTTACAGCCCCTCCTTCCTGAGGTGATACATTTAGCACTCACACAGGTGCAGATCCACCGAACCTTTCACGCAGACCAGAACTTGATGTTCCACTTCCACTGCATAATTATAACTCACTAGCATCGATATTACACAATACTACCTAAAATCTATCAAATAATCACGGCTTACATATAAAGTATCTTATAGTGAAGGGTTAAAACATGTTACGAGGGATACCGTTGTTATTGTTAAACACTTATAATACCTTGTAATAAAAAGCGGCACCCAGTTTACCTGTCATAGCACAAAGTTCAGGGATCAAATAAATCAGTCTCTCTTCTTGTTGGTTCTGTCCTCTCTTGGGCTTCATTCTGTGGAGATCAGACATTAGATCAGCTCATATTCTTATATAATACTCAACAATACAACATGGTGCGAATTGAAGAACTATGATATGAAATATAAAACTAAACAATAATAAGAAATAAGAGATAACCTGTGAAGAAGGAGAGGTTGAGAGCAGTCCTTTATAACAATACTATACTGATCCCTGTAATACTCTATGTAAGATATTTTGTTTCCTCTTCTGTCCTCAAAACAGGAGCGGGGAGTTTCGTCCCACACGATATCGTCTACACGATACGTCTGGTTGTTATATCTCGTCATTATCACGTGACCTGATACGTTACCATGGTTACATTTATATCACGTGATCTGACACGTTACCATGGTTACATTTATATCACGTGATCTGACACGTTACTGGGTCAGAGTGTTAGTTAGATGGAATAATGGATCCTAGCAAGTGACCCTGCAAAATGCAATCTAAAAGCAGTAAAACTACTAACCCACTATTTCCTTGACAGCACGTGACTGCAGATTGTGAGGCTGAGTCTTGTGTATCTCCAGTAACATATCCATTACAGTATCAGTTCTCAGCATCTTGTGGGACACGTTAGTTTGCAGCATGAATCCGCCGTCTAGTTGGGACACTGAGGTCACATACCTGTGTGATTTAGTGTTGTAACCATGGCAACGTAATAGGAACATTGGTAACTCACTAGTGATCATTTAATAACTAATTACTAACTTAAATTACTAAATTAATTTTAATTAAGTTAATAATTACCCTGGCCAGAGCTCGAGCTTGTGTTTGGGAATGTGAACAGATCTGGCCGGATCGTAGAGGTTCCTGCCCATTCTGGTGTATCTGAGTTTAGAGAGAACAGTGCGGAATATTATGTTCAGTAGAGGTATACACTTCTCTATACTTATAGTCTTCGTTAACGTGTACCTCATGGTAATGTCCTCTCCTGAAACACAGTCATATAATAGTAGTACTAATAGTAATGGTGCGTATTATAGGTGTATTGTTGTAACCAGGTTACCAGGTAACCAGGTAACTAGGTAACCGGGTAACCAGGTAACCAGGTAACAGTAATATAATAGTAGTACTAATAGTGCGTATTATAGCGTAACCAGGTTACCAGGTTACCAGGTTACCAGGTTACCAGGTAACCAGGTAACAGTAATATAATAGTAGTACTAATAGTAATAGTGCGTATTATAGGTAGGTGTATTGTTGTAAAGTTGTATTTTGAGACACTGTAATTATTCAGGTTCTATGAAGACATCATACAATATAGCAATGTGAATTCTGACCAGTGTTTTCTTTACAATATAGCAATGTGAATTCTGTAACCATGGTAACTGACCAGTGTTTTCTTTGAGGCTCGTGAAGTAGCCTTGAGAGGGTAGCTGTTCAGAGGAGTAGAGAATAGCACCGTCAAATCTCCAGGCTCTGTTATCAGCTAGTCTCGGCTCTAGAAGCTTGTGTCTAGGGGTAGAATTATAAACACCTCCCAGATAATGCTAAGGGACGGGTAGAAAATAAAGGGCGGCGTTATTTTGATAAATCCCGCTGTTTTCCCCGCTTAATAATTAATAAATAATTCCTGCACAGTTTCAATAAATATAATGGGGTAAAAAGGGAGGTAACCCGTTACACTGGTTACCTGGTTACCTGGTTAAGGGGAGGTAACACTGACCTGAGGAACTTGCTGTCTACAAGAGGGTCGTATGTAATGTGCAACTGTTACCGTACCTGGTTACCAGGTTACCTGGTTACCTGGTTACCTGGTTACCTGGTTAAGGAGAGGTAACACTGACCTGAGGAGCTTGCTGTCTACAGGAGGGTCGTATGTAATGTGCAACTGTTACCGTACCTGGTTACCTGGTTACCAGGTTACCTGGTTACCTGGTTACCTGGTTACCTGGTTACCTGGTTACCTAGTTAAGGAGAGGTAACACTGACCTGAGGAACTTGCTGTCTACAGGAGGGTCGTATGTAATGTGATATTGGAAGACGTCTGTGTCAGTAAACTTCACTTTTATAAAGTTGGTGATGATTGGAATGCTGACTCCGTCCTCTGCGTAACCGGGTCTACTGGGCAACTCAGTATCGTCACTCACTGTCAACTGCACAGTTAACTTTGTTACAATATATTATATACCTAACGCTAATGTGTTGCTATGGTTACAATATAACACTAATTATGGGAGTTACAGAATTTTAACACTACTTATATTAAATCACACCTTGACTGCCTGGGAAAGAAGCATTAGTTACTTATACTACAAGTTACTACAAGTTACTACAAGTTACTACAAGTTACTACAAGTTACTACAAGATACTTAAAGTTAATACACAATATGAGAATTGAGGCAGCTATACTGTTGGTTCAGTGAATGGAATGATTGAAAGTTTATATATTTAAAGTATTGCAAGATACAAATGTGTTGGAGTGTTGAGCCAGTGCAATTTGTGGCCACTTTCTTTTTAAACGAATATTTCCAGTGGTTCCAGTGGTTACTATGGTTACCAGTTCCAGTGGTTCGCTGCTATTTTGCTCGTGCTGATGAAAAGAGCAGAAGACACTAGACTGTACAGTGAACCCCCCTCTACCTACTCACTAGACTGTACCCCCCTTCTACCTACTCTCTAGACTGTAGCTAATGTCATCACCCACCTTGTTAAGAGTAGTTGTAATCTCTGCAGTCCCACCAGTACTCACTAGAAGAGGGGGTCCCATCGCCGCCCCGCCCTCAGCAGCAGTCCCACCATGACCAGGTATAGAGCACTTGTTGGGTTGTCTAATGAAGTGTCCTGGAGGTCCGTTCATTGCTAAACTACGAGACATTGCAGCTCTTCCTACTCCTGCTCCCCTGGAATGTAATGTAACTGTTATCTGGTTACCTAGTTACCTGGTTACCTGGTTACCTGGTTACCTGGTTACCTGGTTACCTGGTTACCTGGTTACCTAGTTACCTGGTTACCAACTAAACTACGAGACATTGCAGCTCTACCCACTCCTGCACCTCTGGAATGTAACTGTTACCTGGTTACCTGGTTACCTGGTTACCTGGTTACCTGGTTACCTGGTTACCTGGTTACCAGCTAAACTACGAGACATTGCAGCTCTACCCACTCCTGCACCTCTGGAATGTAACGTAACTGTTACCTGGTTACCTGGTTACCTGGTTACCTGGTTACCTGGTTACCAGCTAAACTACGAGACATTGCAGCTCTACCCACTCCTGCACCTCTGGAATGTAACGCAACTTTTACTTAATTTATCAAATATAACACTTTAACTCGAGAAAAGAAGAATCGAAATTATACAGGAAATTTCATTAGCGAATCCTAAACATATTTAAAGTTAAAACATAATTGTTGTATGAACAGTACCTCCCAAAGCCAGAAGGCATTGGCGGTAGCTTCAGCTCATTCTCCAGTAGTTTAGCAGCCAACCCACCCCGTCCAATCATGTTTCACTTGTTAGTCCGCCCTTCTTAGCTAAAATAATGTAAACGTTAAGGGTTTTATTAGCTTAACTAATGTAAACGTTAAGGGTCAGCAATGTTAACTTTATTATTTATATTTCAGACCGCAACTTTTCCAGAATTCTAGAATCACCGTGACCCTCAGAATCAACGTTTTTCAAGTGTAAACTGTTATGTATCCTACAAAAGAAAATTGATGTTTTTTACTTAAACCAAGATTGACACTTATCCTACTGATAAAATTATTGTAAATTCTAAGAGGCAAGAACATAACTTATATTTATAATTTATTTATTATTCAATAAAACCAGTTTTTTTTTATTCAGACATTTTCACAAAGAACAATACTCCATTTAACACAATTCCAACTTTGTAAAGACGTATAATATAAAATTGTTTCTTCCTTGTGTTGCACTCTGTGTATGGTCAATAATAATTTATTGATAGTTTAATTTTTAATTCCATTTAGCTCATTCAATCTATTTAATTATGCATTAAGCATTGAATATTCGGGGTTTCCTGTAATATACGTCAATAATATGTAATTAACGTAAATTTAAAAGATTTGTATCTTGTTGTGTGTTTGTAAAACTGAGGAACTTTACCAGGAAGCAGACTTTCTATAATTTATAGTAGACGTAAAATTGCTGTTAAAATTAATAACTCATTAGAAGAAAAGAAATGGGGTAACTTAGTCATCATTGTTCCCAACGTTAATATTTTTTACTTATTACATTATCCCAAATAATTGCCCACAATTGGTACCATAACATTAGTATTTTATCTGAATTATTAAAATTGTGTAAAATTATAGGACGTAACAAATAACTGAAATAAAACATAACTTATTCCCCTGACTTTACTTAAATTGAAAAATTAACGTTAAACATTTAAACAAGTAAATTTGCCCAATAAATTTGTATCTTAAATTAAATTTCTTTACCCGTAATATAATGGTTATCAAGGTTAACAAGGTTAACAAGGTTATCAAGGTTAACAAGGTTATTATCATAAAGGATATAAAAGTGTTATCAGGGAAGAATTGGAAAACTGGTTCGTGGACTTAAGGTCTCAGTAGATAGTCTTATTGTTAGAATCACTTATTGTATAAATATGAACGGTTTTAACAATTTTTATCAGCATTTTCATTCTGATACCAGATAGAATGTATTTAAATTCTGGAATAATTGTTATTATGTTCTGTTACTTAAATAATTATAGATATCAAAGTATGATTGTTCTATTATAGGATTAAATAAAAAGCAATGAAAACTAAATTATTATCTAATAAGTTAGTTAGTATACTAATTAATTATTATCTAATAAGTTAGTAGTCTGATAAGATAACACTTTAAAACTTGATGTTTTCTACATAAAGATTATCGTCGCTAGTGAAGCCGGAGTTACTTTCCAACATGTCCAGCTTCTGTATCACAGTGTCAATATCAGGCCTCCTTGCTGGATCAACCTGCATTTAATAATATTATTTATAAAGGAGTATTAACTGCACACTACTACTACTTGCTGGATCAACCTGCATTTAATAATATTATTTATAAAGGAGTATTAACTGCACACTCATACTATACTTCTTGCTGGATCAACCTGCATTTAATAATATTAAATTATTTATAAAGGAGTATTAACTGCACACTACTATACTACTATACTACTATACTACACACTTTAGAACTGGGATAAAATTAACGAAATGATGGGTAAAAGAAGACACCCCAACTTAGTGGCCATATTGTGCCGAGTTTAAGAAGACACCTCCCCCAGTGTATAAGTTTACCTGTAACATGAACTCTATGAAGTCTACTAGGTCCTGAGAGCAAGGAATAGTTTACCTGCAACATGAACCTCTATGAAGTCTACTAGTCCCTGAGAGAAAGGAATAGTATACCTGCCCAACATGAACTCTATGAAGGTCTACTAGTCCCTGAGAGAAGGAATAAGGTTACCATGCAACAAGAACTCTATGAAGTCTACTAGTCCCTGAGAGAAACGGACTAAGTTTACCTGCAACATGAACCTCTATGAAGTCTAACTCGTCCCTGAGCGCAAGGAATAAGTTTACCTGCAACATGAACCCCCTTTTGGGAAATCTAAAAGTCCCTGAGAGAAAGGCTAAGTTTTTCCCGCCCAAAATGAACTCTATGAAGTCTACTTTGTCCCCCCAGAGAAAAGGGAAAAAGTTTCCCGCAACATTGGAAACTTTTATGAAGTTATGTTCCCCCCTGAGAGAAAGGAATAAGTTTAAACCCGTAACATGAATTATGAAGTCTTTCTGTCCCTGAGGGAAAAAGGGTAAGTTTACCTTTCCAACAAAGAACTCTATGAAGTTACTTGTCCCCGAGAGAAAGGAATAGTTTTTCCTGCAAAATGAACTCTATGAAGTCTACTGGCCCCGAGAGAAAGGGAAAAAGTTTACCGGGAACATGAAATCTATGAAGTCTAAGTCCCCGAGAGAAAAGGGAAAAAGGGTTTTCCTGCAACATGAACTCTTGAAAATCTCTAGTCCCGGGGAGGAAAAGGGAAAAAGTTTTAAAAAAAAATTTAAAAAAAAAAAAAAAAAAAAAAAAAAATGTTTACCTGCAACATGAAAATTTTTTTTGAAGTCTATAGTCCCTGAGAGAAAGGAATAAGTTTTTTTTTTCCCCGCAACAAAGAACCCTTTTGAAGTTACTATTTCCCCGGAGAAAAGGAATAAATTTCCCGCAACCCTGAAACCCATGAAGTTTTACAAATCCCAGGAAAAAATTTTTTTTATGAAAGAAAAAGTTTACCTTTTCCCCGGGGGTGTTTCCTCAAAAGCTAATTGGGCCCACAGTTGGGAAAAAGGGAAAAGTTTACCTGAACATGGGAAATCTATGGTCCTATCCTGAAGTAAAAAATTTACCCCCTGCTCTTGGGGTTTTAATCCCCCGGAAAAAGGGTAGTTTACCCGCCCCCCCCATAAATTATAACTCACCCCAAAAAAATAATTTACCCCAATTAACCAAAATTACAACCCCCGGGGAAAAGGCCTTTCCCAACCTGAAATCATGAACCAGTCCCCTTAATTTCCTTCCAAAACCAAATTCCCCCTGAGAGAAGGAATAGTTACCTGCAACATGAACTCTATGAAGTCTACTAGTCCCTGAGAGAAAGGAATAGTTTACCCTGCAACATGAAACTCTATGAAGTCTATAGTCCCTGAGAGAAAGGAATAGTTTACCTGCAACATGAACTCTATGAAGTCTACTAGTCCCTGAGAGAAAGGATAGTTTACCTGCAACATGAACTCTATGAGTCTACTAGTCCCCTGAGAGGAAAGAGTAGTTTACCTGCAACATGAACTCTATGAAGTCTACTAGTCCCTGAGAGAAAGGAATAAGTTTACCTGCAACATGAACTCTATGAAGTTACTAGTCCCTGAGAGAAAGGAAAGTTTACCTGCAACATGAACTCTATGAAGTCTACTAGTCCCTGAGAGAAAGGAATAAGTTTACTGCAACATGAACTCTATGAAGTCTACTAGTCCCTGAGAGAAAGGAATAGTTTACCTGCACATGAACTCTATGAAGTCTACTAGTCCCTGAGAGAAAGGAATAGTTTACCTGCAACATGAACTTATGAAGTCTACTAGTCCCTGAGAGAAAGGAATAGTTTACCTGCAACATGAAACTCTATGAAAGTCTACTAGTCCCTGAGAGAAAGGAATAGGTTTACCCTGCAACATGAACTCTATGAAGTCTACTAGTCCCTGAGAGAAAGGAATAAGTTTACCTGCAACATGAACTCTATGAAGTCTACTAGTCCCCTGAGAGAAAGGAATAAGTTTACCTGCTACATGAACTCTATGAAGTCTACTAGTCCCTGAGAGAAAGGAATAAGTTTACCTGCAAATGAACTCTATGAAGTCTACTAGTCCCTGAGAGAAAGGAATAAGTTTACCTGCAACATGAACTCTATGAAGTCTACTAGTCCCTGAGAGAAAGGAATAAGTTTACCTGCAACATGAACTCTATGAAGGTCTACTAGTCCCTGAGAGAAAGAATAAGTTTACCTGCAAACATGAACTCTATGAAGTCTACTGTCCCTGAGAGAAAGGAATAAGTTTACCTGCAACATGAACTCTATGAAGTCTACTAGTCCCTGAGAGAAAGGAATAAGTTTACCTGCAACATGAACTCTATGAAGTCTACTAGTCCCTGAGAGAAAGGAATAAGTTTACCTGCAACATGAACTCTATGAAGTCTACTAGTCCCCTGAGAGAAAGGAATAAGTTTACCTGCCAACATGAACTCTATGAAGTCTACTAGTCCTGAGAGAAAGGAATAAGTTTACCTGCAACATGAACTCTATGAAGTCTACTAGTCCCTGAGAGAAAGGAATAAGTTTACCTGCAACCAAGAACTCTATGAAGTCTACTAGTCCCTGAGAGAAAGGAATAAGTTTACCTGCAACATGAACTCTATGAAGTCTACTAGTCCCTGAGAGAAAGGAATAAGTTTACCTGCAACATGAACTCTATGAAGTCTACTAGTCCCTGAGAGAAAGGAATAAGTTTACCTGCAACATGAACTCTATGAAGTCTACTAGTCCCTGAGAGAAAGGAATAAGTTTACCTGCAACATGAACTCTATGAAGTCTACTAGTCCCTGAGAGAAAGGAATAGTTTACCTGCAACATGAACTCTATGAAGTCTACTAGTCCCGGCCCTGAGAGAAAGGAATAAGTTTACCTGCAACATGAACTCTATGAAGTCTACTAGTCCCTGAGAGAAAGGAATAAGTTTACCTGCCACATGAACTCTATGAAGTCTACTAGTCCCTGAGAGAAAGGAATAAGTTTACCTGCAACATGAACTCTATGAAGTCTACTAGTCCCTGAGAGAAAGGAATAAGTTTACCTGCAACATGAACTCTATGAAGTCTACTAGTCCCTGAGAGAAAGGAATAGTTTACCTGCAACATGAACTCTATGAAGTCTACTAGTCCCTGAGAGAAAGGAATAAGTTTACCTGCAACATGAACTCTATGAAGTCTACTAGTCCCTGAGAGAAAGGAATAAGTTTACCTGCAACATGAACTCTATGAAGTCTACTAGTCCCTGAGAGAAAGGAATAGCTTTACCTGCCAACATGAACTCTATGAAGTCTACTAGTCCCTGAGAGAAAGGAATAAGTTTACCTGCAACATGAACTCTATGAAGTCTACTAGTCCCTGAGAGAAAGGAATAAGTTTACCTGCAACATGAACTCTATGAAGTCTACTAGTCCCTGAGAGAAAGGAATAGTTTACCTGCAACATGAACTCTATGAAGTCTACTAGTCCCTGAGAGAAAGGAATAAGTTTACCTGCAACATGAACTCTATGAAGTCTACTATCCCTGAGAGAAAGGAATCAGTTTACCTGCAACATGAACTCTATGAAGTCTACTAGTCCCTGAGAAGAAAGGAATAAGTTTACCTGCCAACAATGAACTCTATGAAGTCTACTAGTCCCTGAGAGAAAGGAATAAGTTTACATGCAACTTGAACTCTATGAAGTCTACTAGTCCCTGAGAGAAAGGAATAGTTTACCCTGACAACATGAACTCTATGAAGTCTACTAGTCCCTGAGAGAAAGGAATAAGTTTACCTGCAACATGAACTCTATGGAAGTCTACTAGTCCCCTGAGAGAAAGGATAGTTTACCCTGCACATGAACTCTATGAAGTCTACTAGTCCCTGAGAGAAAGGATAAGTTTACCCGCAAAAAGGGAAATCTATGAAAATTTACTAGTCCCTGAGAGAAAGGGAAAAAGTTTACCTGCCAAAATGAAAATCTATGAAGTCTACTAGTCCTTGAGGGGAAAAAAAGGGAAAAGTTTACCCGCCCCCAAAATGAACCCTAAAGTTATAGTCCCTGAGAGAAAAGGGAAAAAGTTTACCTGCAACAGGAAAATCCCATGAAGTTACTGTCCCTGAGAGGGAAAAGGGAAAAAGTTTCCCGCAAAATTGAACTTATGAAGTCTACTAGGCCCTGAGAGAAAGGAATAAATTTACCTGCAACATGAACTCTAGGGGGTCATTTTGTTTCCCCGAGAGAAAGGAAAAAAGTTTTCCCCCGAAAATGAACTCTATGAAGTCTACTAGTCCCTGGGAAAAGGGAAATTAAATTTTTCCTGCAAAAATGAACCTTTTGAAGTCTACTGGGCCCTGAGAGAAAAGGGAAAAATTTTTCCCTGCAACATGAACTCATGAAGTTTATCCCCAAAAAAATTTTTTTTTTTTTAATTTTTTTTTTTTCCCTTTAGAGGGAAAAGGGAAAAGTTTTTTTTTGAAAAATTTAACTCTATGAAGTTTCTTTGGCCCTGAGAGAAAAGGAAAAAGTTTACCTGCCCAAAATTTAACCCCTATGAAAAGGTTTACTAGTCCCTGAGAGAAAAAGGGAAAAAGTTTACCTGCAACATGAACTTTATGAAGTTATAGTCCCTGAGAGAAAGGAAAGTTTACCTTTCCCAACCTTAAAATCTATGAAGTCTAATAGTCCCTGAGAGGAAAAAAATAAAATTTTCCCGCCCAAAATGAACTTATGAAATCTCTAGTCCCTGAGAGCAAAGGGTTTGTTTTCCTCCCAAAATGAAAATCTATGAAGTCTACTAGTCCCTGGGAGAAAAGGAATAAATTTACCTGCAACATGAACTCTATGAAGTTACTAGTCCCCGAGAGAAAAAGGGGAAAAAGTTTTTAAAATTTCAACCCTGAAATCTTTGAAGTTTAAAAAAAATTTCCCCGAGGGAAAGGAATAAATTTAACCCGCAAAAATGAACTCCCCCCCTTTTAAGTTAAATGTCCCCCAGGAAAGGAATAAATTTTCCTGCAACAGGGAAATTATGAAGTCTACTAGTCCCCGAGAGGAAAAAAGGGAAAAAGTTTTTCCTGCAACATGGGAAATCTTGAAGTTACTAGTCCCTGAGGGGGAAAGGAATAAGTTTACCCGCCCCCAAAATGAACTTATGAAGTCTACTATTTCCCCGAGAGGAAAAGGAAAAAAGTTTTCCTGCCCAAAATGAAATTATGAAATCTACTAGTCCCCCCCCCCCCCCAGGGGAAAAAAGGGAAAAGTTTACCTGCCCCCCATGAACTCTATGAAGTCTACTAGTCCCTGAGAGAAAGGAATATGTTTACCTGCAACCATGAACTCTATGAAGTCTACTAGTCCCTGAGAGAAAGGAATAAGTTTACCTGCAACATGAACTCTATGAAGTCTACTAGTCCCTGAGAGAAAGGAATAAGTTTACCTGCAACATGAACTCTATGAAGTCTACTAGTCCCTGAGAGAAAGGAATAAGTTTACCTGCAAATCATGAACTCTATGAAGTCTACTAGTCCATGAGAGAAAGGAATAGTTTACCTGCAACATGAACTCTATGAAGTCTACTATTCCCTGAGAGAAAGGAATAGTTTACCTGCAACATGAACTCTATGAAGTCTACTAGTCCCTGAGAGAAAGGAATAGTTTACCTGAACATGAACCTATGAAGTCTACTAGTCCCTGAGAGAAATGAATAGTTTACACCTGCAACATGACTCTATGAAGTCTACTAGTCCCTGAGAGAAAGGAATAGTTTACCTGCAACATGAACTCTATGAAGTCTACTAGTCCCTGAGAGAAAGGAATAAGTTTACCTGCAACATGAACTCTATGAAGTCTACTAGTCCCTGAGAGAAAGGAATATAGTTTACCTGCAACATGAACTCTATGAAGTCTACTAGTCCCTGAGAGAAAGGAATAAGTTTACCTGCAACATGAACTCTATGAAGTCTACTAGTCCCTGAGAGAAAGGAATAAGTTTACCTGCAACATGAAACTCTATGAAGTCTACTAGTCCCTGAGAGAAAGGAATAATTTTACCTGCAACATGAACTCTATGAAGTCTCTAGTCCCTGAGAGAAAGGAATAAGTTTACCTGCAACATGAACTCTATGAAGTCTACTAGTCCTGAGAGAAAGGAATAAGTTTACCTGCAACATGAACTCTATGAAGTCTACTTACTAGTCCATGAGAGAAAGAATAGTTTACCTGCAACATGAACTCTATGAAGTCTACTAGTCCATGAGAGAAAGGAATAGTTTACCTGCAACATGAACTCTATGAAGTCTACCTAGTCCCTGAGAGAAAGGAATAAGTTTACCTGCAACATGAACTCTATGAAGTCTACTAGTCCCTGAGAGAAAGGAATAGTTTACCCGCCCCAAAATAACTCTATGAAATCTACTAGGCCCCCGGGGAAAAGGAATAAATTTCCCGCCCAAAATGAAACTTTTGAAGGGCTACTAGTCCCCGGGGAAAGGAAAAAGTTTACCTGGGAACATGAAATCTATGAAGTTTACTAGTCCCCGAGAGGAAAAGGAAAAAAGGGTTTTCCCGCAAAAGGGAAATCTATGAAGTCTACTGTCCCCGAGAGAAAAAGGGAAAAAGTTTACCGGAACAGGGAAATCTTGGGAAATCTACTAGTCCCCGAGAGAAAGGAATAAGGGTTTTCCTGCCCAAAAACATGAACTCTATGAAGTTTTACTAGTCCCTGGGGAGAAAGGAATAAATTTTCCCGCAACATGAAACTCTATGAAGTCTATAGTCCCCGAGAGAAAGGAATAAGTTTACCTGCCCCAAAATGAATCAAAGAAGTCTACTGTCCCTGAGGAAAAAGGGAAAAAGTTTACCTGCAACATGAACTCTTGAAGTCTACTAGTCCTGAGGGGAAAGGAAAAAGTTTACCGCAACCCTGGAAATTATGAAAATTAATGTCCCTGAGAGAAAAGGAAAAAAGTTTACCCGCCCAATGAAAAACTTGAAGTTACTAGGCCCCGGGGGAAAAGGAATAAATTTACCTTTAACATGAACTTTTATGAAGTCTTAGTCCCTGAGAGAAAGGAAAAGTTACCTGCCCAAAATGAACTCTATGAAGTCTATAGGCCCTGAGAGAAAAGGAAAAAGTTTACCTGCAAACCCTGAAAATCTATAAAAATCTCTTGTTTCCCCGAGAGAAAGGGAAAAGTTTCCGCCCCCATGGAAAATCTTGAAGTCTACTAGTCCCTGAGAGAAAGGAATAGTTTAACCCGAAAATTTAACTTATGAGTTACTAGTCCCGAGAGAAAGGGGAAAAAGTTTACCTGCCCCAAAATGAAATTATGAAGCCTTTCAGTCCCTGAGAGAAAGGAAAAAGTTTCCCGCCCCAAAATGAACTTATGAAATTACTGGGCCCTGAGAGAAGGAATAAGTTTACCTGCAACATTTAACTCTATGAAATTATAGTCCCTGAGAGAAAAAGGGTTTAAATTTTACCTGCCCAAAATGAACTTATGAAGTTACTGTCCCCGAGAGAAAGGAATAAATTTTCCTGAACTGAACTCTATGAAGTCTATAGTCCCCGAGAGAAAAAAAAGGGGGGGGGGGAAAAAGGGGGGAAAGGGGGGGGGGGGGGAAGGGGGAAAGGAAAAAGTTTAAACCCGGGAAAAATGAACCCCAAAGAAGTCTTTTGTCCCTGAAGAAAAGGGAATTTAACCCCCGCCAAACCCCTGAACCCCCCCCTATAAAGTTAATGTCCCCTGAAGAAAAGGAATAAATTTACCTGAAATGAAATTATGAAGTTACTAGTCCCTGGGAGAAAGGAATTGTTTACCCGAAAATTTTACTCTATGAAGTCTACCCAGTCCCTGAGAGAAAGGAATAAATTTTTCCTGAACATGAACTTATGAAGTCTACTAGGGCCCTTTAGGGAAGGAAAAAGTTTACCCCCGCAACATGAACTTTTATGAAGTCTACTTTGTCCTGAGGAAAGGAATTAAAAAATGTTTTCCTGCAAAATGAACTCTATGAAGTTTTTCAGTTCCCCGGGGAGAAAGGGAAAAAGTTTACCTGCCCAAAATGAAATCTTTGAAATTAATTGTCCCTGAGAGAAAGGAAAAAGGTTTTCCCGCAACATGAACTCTAAGAAGTCTCTGTCCTGGGGGGGAAAGGAAAAAAGTTTACTGCCCCCAAAAATTTAACTTATGAAGTCTACTAAATCCCTGAGAGGGAAAAGGGAAAAAGTTTACCTGAAAAAGACTCTATGAAGTCTACTAGTCCCTGAGAGAAAGGGAAAAAGTTTTCCTGCAACTTAACTTATGAAGTCTACTAGTCCCTGGAGAAAGGAATAAGTTTACCTGCCAAAATGAAAATCTTTGAAATCTACCCAGTCCCCGGAAAAAGGAATAAGTTTACCTGCAACATGAAAATCTATGAAGTCTTTGGTTCCCCCCGAGAGAAAGGAAAAAAGTTTTCCTGCCCAAAATGAAAATCTATGAAGTCTATAGTCCCTGAGAGAAAGGAAAAGTTTTTCCTGCAACCTGAACTCTATGAAGTCAAATAGTCCCCCCCCCCCCCCCCCCCCCCCGAGAGAAAGGATAGTTTACCTGCAACATGAAATTTTGAAGTTACCCGTCCCTGAGAGGGAAAAGGGAAAAAGTTTTCCTGCCAAAAATGAACTCTAAGAAGTTAAATAGTCCCTGAGAGAAAGGAATAAATTTCCTGCAACATGGGAATCTATGAAGTCTACTAGTCCCTGAAGAAAGGGGTTAAATTTTCCTGCAACATGAAAATCTATGAAATCTACTTGTCCCTGAGAGAAAGGAATAAGTTTTCCTGGGAACATGAACTCATAAGTCTACTAGTCCCTGAGAGAAAGGAAAAGTTTTCCTGCCCAAAATGAAAATCTATGAAGTTAATAGTCCCTGAGAGAAAGGAATAAATTTACCTGCCCAAAATGAAAACTTAAGTTCTAATTTCCCGAGAGAAAGGGAAAAAGTTTACCTGCCCCAAAATGAACTCTATGAAGTCTACCCAGTCCCCGAGGAAAGGAATAAGTTTACCTGCAACTTTAAAATTTAAAATCTTTTCTAAATCCCTGGGGAGAAAAGGGAAAAAGTTTACCTGAACATTTAAATCTATGGGAAATTCCCGTCCCCCGAGGGGAAAGGAATAGTTTACCTGCAACATGAAACTTTTTGAAATTACTAGGGCCCCGAGAGAAAGGGGAAAAAGGTTTTCCCGCAACATGAACTTAGGGAAATCTTTTAGTCCCCGAGAAGAAAGGAAAAGTTTACCCCCTTTTTTTTTTTTTTTACCCCAAAATGAATCTATGAAGTTATAGTCCCTGAGAGAAAGGAATAAATTTTCCTTTCCCCAAAATGAACTCTATGAAGTCCCACAGTCCCCCCCCGAGGGGAAAGGAATAGTTTACCTGCCAAAAATGAACTCTATAAAATCTACTAGTTCCCCGAGAGAAAGGAAAAGTTTTCCTGCCCCCAAAATGAACTCTAAAGAAATCTTTCTAGCCCTGAGAGGGAAAAGGGAAAAGGGTTTTTTTGCCCCAAAATGAACCCCTATGAAGTCTTCTGTCCCTGAGAGAAAAAGGGAAAAGTTTTCCCGCAACAAGAAAATCTATGAAATCTTCTTGTCCCTGGAGAAAGGAATAAGTTTACCGGCCCAAAATGAACTCTATAAAATCCCATGTCCCTGGAGAAAGGAATAAATTTACCTGAACATGAAAATCTATGAAGTCTACTTGTCCCTGAGAGAAAGGAAATTTTTTCCTGAAAATAACTCTATGAAGTCTAATAGTCCCTGAGGGAAAGGAAAAAGTTTACCCGCCCAAAAAGAACTCTAGAAGTCTACTAGGCCCTGAGAGAAAAAGGGAAAAAGTTTTCCTGCAACATGAACTCTATGAAGTTTTACTAGTCCTGAGAGAAAGGAAATTGTTTACCTGCCCCAAATGAACTTTTGAAGTCTACTAGTCCCTGAGAGAAAAGGAAAATTTTTTTTTCCTGCAACATGAAAATTATGAAGTCTATAGTCCCCGGAGAAAGGGTAAATTTACCTGCCCAAAATGAAAAAATTTTGAAGTCTACTAGTCCCTGAGAGAAAGGGAAAAAGTTTTCCCGCCCCAAAATTTAAAATCTATGAAGTCTAATAGTCCCCCAGGGGAAAGGGAAAAGTTTACCTGCAACCCTGAAAATAATGAAATTAAATAAAACCGGGGAAAAAAGGAATAAATTTACCTGCAAAATGAACTTATGAAGTTCAAATCCTGAGAGAAAGGGAAAAAGGTTTTCCCGCAACATGAACTCTATGAAGTTACTGTCCCTGAAAAGAAAGGAATAGTTTACCTGAACATGAACTCTATGAAGTTACTAGTCCCTGAGAGAAAGGAATAAATTTACCTGCAACATGAACTCATGAAGTTTAATAGGCCCCGAGAGAAAAAGGAAAAGTTTTCCTGCAAAATGAATTATGAAGTCTACTAGTCCCTGAGAGAAGGAAAAGTTTACCGCAACCTGAATCTATGAAATTAAATTACCCCCCCCCCCCCCCCCCCCCCCCCCCCCCCCCCCCCCCCCCCCCAATCCTGAGAGAAAGGAATAAATTTCCTGCCACCCTGAACCTATGAAGTCTACTTGGGCCCCGAGAGAAAGGAATAAATTTTTTTCCCGCAAAATGAAATCTTTGAAGTCCCCACTAGTCCCCTTTAGGGGAAAGGAATTGTTTTCCTTCAACATGAACTCTATGAAATCTACTTGTCCCCGAGAGAAAGGGGTTTAAATTTAAATGCCCAAAATGAACTCTATGAAGTCCTTTCTAGTCCCTGAGAGAAAGGAATGTTTACCCCGCAAAAATGAACTTTTGAAGTCTACTAGGCCCCGAGAGAAAGGGGAAAAAGTTTTCCTGCAACATGAATCATGAAATCTACTAGTCCCTGGGGAAAAAAGGAATAAGTTTTTCCTTTCAAAAATGAACTCATGAAGTCTACAGTCCTGAGAGAAAGGAATAAGTTTACCTGAAAAATTTTAACTTATGAAGTTACTAGTCCCTGAAGAAAAGGGAAAAAGTTTACCTGCAACATGAAAAAAAATTTTATGAAGTTACTAGTCCCCGAAGGGGAAAGGAAAAAATTTTTCCTTTCCCAAAATGAACTCTATGAAATCTTTTAGTCCCTGGGGGAGAAAGGAATAAATTTCCTGGGAACCCTGAACTCTTTGAAGGGCTACTAGTCCCTGAGAGAAAAGGAATAGTTTTTCCTTCCCCTGAAAAAATATGAAGCTACTAGGCCCTGAGAGAAAGGAATAAATTTTTCCCGAACAGGAAAAATTTTGAAGTCTACTAGTCCTGAGAGAAAGGAATAAGTTTACCTGCCCAAATTTAACTCTTTTGAAGTCTACTTGTCCCTGAGAGAAAAAGGGAAAAGTTTACCTGCAAAATGAAAATTATGAAGTTTACTATCCCTGTGAGAAAGGAATAAGTTTACCCGCCCCCCATGAACTCTATGAAGTTACTAGTCCCCGAGAGAAAGGAAAAAGGTTTTCCTTCAAATGAACTCTATGAAATTACTAGTCCCTGAGGAAAGGGAAAAAGTTTACCTGCCCCCATGAACTCTATGAAGTCTCCCAGTCCCCCGAGAGAAAGGAAAAAAGTTTACCTGAAAAATGAACTCTAGAAGTCACTTGTCCCCGAAAGGGGAAAGGAAATTTTGTTTACCCGCAAACCCTGAAAATTATGAAGTCTAATGTCCCTGAGAGAAAGGGAAAAGTTTACCTGAAATGAAAATCTATGAATTTTATAGTCCCTGAGAGAAGGGAAAAAGTTTAACCGGCCCCAAAATGAACTTATGAAGGGCTACAGTCCTTTAGAGAAAGGGAAAAAGGTTTTTCCTGCAAAAATGAACTCTATGAAGTTTACTAGTCCCTGAGAGAAAAAGGGAAAAATTTTTCCCCAACTTTAAAATCTATGAAGTCTATAGTCCCGGGGAGAAAGGAATAAATTTACCCGCAACCCTGAACTCTATTTAAGTTACTAGTTCCCCGAGAGAAAGGGAAAAAGTTTTTTTTTTCCCGCAACCCCTGAAACCCCTATGAAGTTACTAGTCCCTGAGAGAAAGGAATAAATTTTCCTGCAACATGAACTCTATGAAGGGCTACTAGTCCCTGAGAGAAAGGAAAAAGTTTACCTGCAACATGAACTCTATGAAGCTACTAGTCCCGAGAGAAAAGGGAAAAAGTTTACCTGGGAACATGAACTCTTTGAAGTCTTCTGTCCTGAGAGAAAAAATAAATTTTCCTGCCCCAAAATTAAAAACTATGAAGTTACTGTCCCTGAGAGGAAAAGGGTTGTTTACCTGGGAACATGAACTTTTTGAAGTCTATAGTCCCTGAGAGAAAGGAATAATTTACCTGCCCAAAATGAACTCTTGAAGTCTACTAGTTCCCCCCCCCCGAGAAAAAAGGGAAAAAAAATTTACCTGCAAATGAACCCCTATGAAGTTTTACTAGTCCCTGAGAGAAAGGAATGTTTAAACCCGCAAAATGAACTCTATGAAGTCTATAGTCCCCCGAGGAAAGGAATAAGTTTACCTGCAACATGAACTCTAGGAAAATCTACCCAGTCCCTGAGAGAAAGGAATAAATTTACCGCAACATGAACTCTTGAAAATCTACTAGTTTCCCCGAGAGAAAGGAATAAATTTACCCGGGAAAAATGAAACTCTATGAAGTCTACTAGTCCCCCGAGAGAAAGGGGTAAATTTAACCAAAATGCCGAAAGGGTTTGGGGGAAAACCCATGAAATCTATGAAGTTCTAGTCCTGAGAGGGAAAAGGGAAAAAGTTTACCTGAAAAATTTAACTCTATGAGTCTACTAGTCCCTGAGAGAAAGGAATAGTTTACCCTCAAAAAATTTTAACTCTATGAATTACTAGTCCCCCTGAGAGAAAGGAATGTTTACCTGGGAACATGAAATCTATGAAGTTTTACTTTGTCCCTGAGAGAAAGGAATAATTTACCTGCAACATGAAAATCTATGAAGTTACTAGTCCCTGAGGAAAGGAATAGTTTTTTCCCGCAAAATGAAATCTATGAAATCTATAGTCCTGGGGAGAAAGGAATAAATTTACCTGCAACATGAACTCTATGAAGTCTACTGGCCCCCGAGAGGAAAGAAAAAAGTTTACTGAACATGAACTCTATGAAGGGCTAATAGTCCCTGAAGAAAAGGAAAAAAGTTTTTCCTGCCAAAAAATGAATCTATGAAAATCTACTTGTTTCCCCCAAAAAAACCCCCCCCCCCCCAAATTTTCCCCCCCCCTGAGAGAAAAGGAAAAAGGGTTTTCCGGCCCAAAATGAAAATCTATGAAGTCTACTATTTCCCCGAGAGAAAGGAATAAGTTTACCTGCAACTGAACTTATGAAGTCTACTAGTCCCTTTAAAGAAAGGAATAAATTTCCTGCCCAAAATTTAACCTATGAAGCTAATAGTCCCTGAGAGAAAGGGGAAAAAGGGTTTTCCCGCCAAAATGAAAATTAGGGAAATCTAAATAGTCCCTGAGAGAAAGGGAAAAAGTTTACCTGCCCAAATGAAAATCTTGAAGTAACTAGTCCCTGAGAGAAAGGGAAAAGTTTACTGCCCCATGAAAATCTATGAAGTTACTAGTCCCCGAGAGAAAGGAAAAGTTTACCCCGCAACATGAAAATCTATGAAGTTATAGTCCCCGAGAGAAAGGAATAAGTTTACCTTTCACATGAACTCTATTTAAGGGCTATAGTCCCCGAGGAAAGGGGAATTTGGGTTTTCCCGCCAAAATGAACTCTATGAAGTTACTAGGGCCCCGAGAGAAAGGAATAAGGGTTTTCCCGCAACCCTGAACTTATGAAGTTTACTAGTCCCTGAGAGAAAAAGGAAATAAGTTTTTTCCTGCAACATGAACCTATGAAGTCTACTAGTCCCTGAGAGAAAGGAATTAAATTTTTCCTGCCCCAAAATTTAAAATATGAAGTCTACTTGTCCCTGAGAGAAAAGGGAAAAAGTTTTTCCTGCAACATGAAAAATCTATGAAGTCTACTAGTCCCCAGAAAAGGGGAAAAAGTTTACCTGCCAAAAATTTTAAATCTATGAAGTCTACTGTCCCCGAGAGAAAAGGAAATTGTTTACCCGCCCCAACCCTGAAAACCCATGAAGTCCTAGTCCCCCAGAAAAGGAATAGTTTACCTGAACATGGGAAATTTAAAGGGCTCTAGTCCCTGAGAGAAAGGGGAAAAAGTTTACCTGCCAACATGAACTCTATGAAAATTACTAGTCCCGAGGGGAAAGGAATAAGTTTCCTGCCCAAAATGAACTCTATGAAGTTTACTAGTCCCCGAGAGAAAGGGAAAAAGTTTACCTCCAAAAAATGAACTCTATGAAGTCTACTAGTCCCTGAGAGGGAAAGGAAAGTTTACCTGCAACAAAGAACTTATGAATTTAGTCCCTGAGGGGAAAGGAATAGTTTCCCGCAACATGAAATCTATGAAGTCTACTTTGTCCCTGAAAAGAAGGAAAAAAGTTTACCTGCAAAAATGAACTCTATGAAGTTACTAGTCCCTGAGAGAAAGGAAAAGGTTTTTCCTGCCAACATGAAAATTATGAAGTCTACT